GCTGTAAATTTTATCTCTTTACTGATTTATCAGATTTTTCTTTTTCTTCTTCAATACACATCCTTTTTGGTTGGAAAAGATGGTTGGACACATAATTAAAATATAGAAGGATGAAATATCCTTTAAAAAAATTTTCTTAGCAAAATATTCTATAGGGTTCTCAGGGAAGTCATTTATTAAAGGAACACTATAGTAGCAGGCATACAAAGCTGCATTCCTAACACTTAAGTGTTCCAATACCATCTCCTCTCTCACGGTACTGAAAGGGTTAAATAACACTTTCTTTCACTCACCTTATTCTCTGTAACTGCACTGCTTTACATTGCAGGGTTATAGGGGACAGGAACAATGCATCCAGACTACTTTAATGAGATGAAGTGGTCTGGGTGCCTATAGTGTTCCTTTAAACATAGCAATATAATACAATGTTCTAATGCAGGTATTATGTGATGCTCAGATAGCTCCAAAAGCTAGCCAACACCGAAATAAGACTAAATAATTGTATGAGCATGAAGACACAAGAGATCTAATGAGATTACTGAAATTTGAACTACTCTATCACAACCACTAAAAACACCTGTTTGTCCTCTAAAGCCAACAGAACATACCGGAAAGCGGACTGCTGCTAGATGTAGCTAGGCCTCATCTAAGTACAACAAAATCCCAAAGACCATAATTTTTACTTAGACCCAAATTATTATTAATGCCCAGCAAGCAGAACCGCGTGCAATTATTATGCATCAAGTGGAGAAAAGCCCATTGCCCTGGGGTTCTAAGTGGATACATTTAAGAAAGCACAGTCCCCTTGGCTCACACGTACAGAAACTTATTTGTACACTCTCTCATACCCATATAGCCAGGGGGGTCCCCAAATATCGGGCCATTTAATGCATCAATAAACACCACCCCCGTCTCCAGCACCCTGGGGCCCGGAAACAGAAATTAAACACAAGCTCTACAGACTTACATTAATTGGTTAATTTATAGAACGTAGAGGTTACAAATAGTTTTCAAGTAAATTAATAAATAATCTCAGCCCAATAATGAATTGCCTCTTCAGGGTCATTTATATAATTCTAACATTTCCAGACAGCTCTCCCCTTCATTGGATGCTGCTCACTACTGCAATGAGGGATCATTAGGTTCCTGTTAGTGCCAGACTGCCTGCTATACAGTTTTAACACCTCAATCATCTCAGCTCCCTGTGTTGAAGCTGCACTGTCATTTAGGGAAGTGCTTCACTTGTTTCAGTCGGCAAGAAACAGAAAAAACAAACACATTGCAGCTGACACCTACTCAGTTCCCATCAATCCACCCCCTCCCTTAGAAAACACTGAATCCCAGAGATACTGGCTCAACTTAATGGAATGCAGGACCATTGGTATGTTTGGAAGAGAAAAAAAAACAAACAAAAAAAAGGCACTTCCTTACATATACCAGGGCCATCACACAAACTCTAGTACAGAAACAGATAAGTGGGGTTCGTACTTGAGAATATATTTGGAGCAGGTGACTCAGTGCTGCAAGAATGTATCCACTTAGATTTTTATTCACACTGTCTCTGCAGTTTCCCAAGATGTTAGTTGATACATTTCTCCCCACTGAACATTCCAACTCGGCCATACAATTCCAGCTTAGATGCCAGATCCACCACAGTTTCCTGGACACTTCGCTATTGCTTCTTCAGACTCTTAGGCAGGACATGAAAAGTACCACTTGGCTGCAAGTAGCATTTTTGCATTGGTCCTACAGAAATTACAGGACAGCGTTCTTCATGTACTGTTCATCGTGGTGGACCTTGCAACTCTCTGGATCTCTTCACACAAGCTTCTCGAAGCCAAGAATGAGGGGCTTAAATGAAACATGATAACAGATGGATTCTGAAAATCCCATCAACACAGACACTGCTTAAAGTGCACACTTCATAAAACATCATAGTTTATCTACCATCAGGTAGCCACATTTCTATTGAATGTGTGCTCTGCTCAAAAGGAAACCAAAAAAATAAGCATCACGCTATTTTTGGTTGATCACCCTAAAGACTGGATGGTGCTTGAAGGGGAAAAGGCATCAAGTAGTAGCTAACTTTTAAAATTGTGTTTGTACAATGCTATCAAATGGGCTCCGCATCATGTTCTTATCACTCATGTTGCATATTCAATCTATATATTTTTTCACTTTCACAACATGTAGATGAAAAGATCTTATTCAACACAAAAGGACAAAAGGTTTTACTGTAAGAACACTTTGTTCGGACAGTATTATTAAGAAGAAATTGGCCTTTTGCTTGAAGCTATCTGTTCCTCTGCAAACACTGTGGCATGCATCAGTGCACAAATGACGCAGATCAGGTTATGAGATGAATGAAACAGATTATGCTGAACTAAATAATGCATGAGAGGCTTTCAAAAGAAAGAAGAGGTTCAAAAACAGACTGCAAAGGTTTACACCATGTTAAACCAAAACATGAATGTGGATGCCATTGTAAATGCGGTCAGGCAAATCACTTTATATCACAATAGTCTTGGCATGTTGGCATTTATCATGAATGCTTATAAATGTGATTTCTACATTAACTTAAAGGGACACTATAGACACCAGAACAACTAGAGCTTATTGAATTTGTTCTGGTGAGTAGAATCCTTACCTTGCTGTAATCACTGTCTTTTTCAGAGAAAATGCTGTGTTTACATCACAGCCTAGGGATACCTCCACTTGACACTCCTCAGATGGCTACTAGATGTGCTTCCTGGTGCAGTACTGCACAGTGTGACTGACTTGCAGTGTCTCCACCCTATGCATGGAGACACAACTTCAATTCAATGCATCTCTATGAGAAGATGCTGATTGGCCAGGGCTGTACATGGCTTCTGCTAGCTCTACTCCTGTTCTGCCTTCTTGACCCTCTTAGCCAATCAAATTATTTCATATGATCAGTAGGCAGATCAGGGGCAGAGCCAACGGCAGATTGGAATAAGGGTAGGATTTTTCTATATTGAGGGGGGCAAGGAGGCTAGACGGTAGTTTTAACACTAAAGGGTCTGGAATATATGTTTGTGTTCCTGACCCTAAAGTGTTCCTTTAACTCATTTTGACATTAAGTTGTGCACAAATGTGATGATAACAAGGGTAATCTAGAAGGTTCTATGTTTTTAGAATGTTCACACATCAGAACGGTCCTAGCTTGCTATATGACATATTGTAGAATGACTCTTGTACCATTCTGAGAGCATATGAGTGTGCACAACCCCTGCAGACTAATTATTTATAGTTTAAATTTGACAATAGCAAAAAGACACATGTAAAAATAAAATTATAGCCTTTAAAGAGTCACTCCACCACCATGCCCACTATAGATATGTTACACGATAAGTTAATTTAGAGTAACATTTACAAACCATTACCTAGGTTTACCCCCTAAAAGGCATTCACATCACGAATCACAGCACTCGAATGCACCAAATGTAAAAATGGAGGGTGGGGTCTGACTACCAATTTATCATAGGAAAATAGCAAAGGCCCAACATTTCATTGGAATTATCAAGAAGGTCAGACGTGAGTAACAGATTCCTGGCTGTGGATTTGTAGCTCTACAGCAGGTGGATACTGGAGAGCAACCTTCTGGCAATTAAAAAATGAAGGTTCTGTCAAATAGACACACGCAAAAACATATGTATAAAAAAAGCAAATAAATAAAAGTCAGCAACCATGATTTTTCCTTCATTATTTACCTGCCACGGAGTTGGGTCGCTGCATCATCAGAGAACTGCAGTTTTGTACATATGAAATCGGGCCTTCCCCACCAGGTGCCTCAGTTTTTGTCAAACTATCCACTGAACTACAGGATTCCTCCTCCACAACTGGAGAGCAGTTATCAATTCTTCTCTCGTGCATGACTCCTTGAGGTCTTCCGGCCCTCAAACTTCCATCTTTGCACCACTCCAAGCTGGAACCACTGCGGTCATCATTTTCAGAAGAGCTTGTGATCGTAGCTAATGGATTGAGATAAAGAAACATGGCTTAATGGAAGAAATCCTTTTAACAACCAATATGTATTGACAAAGCTATTTTTCAGATTCTGTGCTTGTTTTTCTCTTTTAGTCTCTACACTTTGAGAAAATATTTGTGACCAACATCCTGTGAAAGTTCTAAAACCGTTGGTAGAGCAATAATACAGACCATGACCGAGTTTTGTCACAGAGTCCTCGGCCAGGGTACCAGCAATCTAGGTCTGATGAAATTGCTGAAGATATTTTTTAGTTCTTCTACAAGAGAACATCTACAGAAACTGAGTGGGTCCCACTCCTGCACAGCAACAGACCAGACCCAGATTGCAAGAATGTAAATAAATAAAAAAACGGCTGTGGTTTTTACACGCACATGCATGAAGCGACTGGGACTCTCGGTAAACCTTGGGGCTATAGCAATACATTAAGTATTCAGATCTGATTACACCCAAAATAGAAAGCTTTCTTACATGCCCATGATGCACTTTGATTAGCCCTGAGCATTTTTATAAGTTGACTATATAATGCAGTTTAACATTTAGTGTAAAAATAGTTTTCCAAGAAATATTTGTAAAAAGTAACGCGGTTCCTCTCTCATATTTAGCTGATTTTTAATTTTTTTTAAATTACAGGCAAGTGATTTCTATTGGACAAGGTTACAAATCACCTTTGTCCCAATACTTCTAATTCATTGCATGTGTGCACACAAAACTATACTGAATAAGGCAAGTCAAACAACATAGAGGTTATTTGTTGATCTCAAGGTATCTAGTCATTACAGGACATGTTGGGAAGTCCACAGGGTGACCACCATTGTACTTGAAGACATTTGCATTTCTGTTTAAGAAGAAAAAAAACAAGCAGCATTAAAGTAGGTTACAGCAGCAGCATAGACCTAATGGATCTAAAGAAAGCATTAGTCACAAATGCCAATTAATCATAGGACAGAAGAAAATATCCACAGAAACAAGGACATGGCAAGATGTTATTTCATTACCCCTACATGCTAGAGAGGGTGGGGTATAGTGACACAAAGTGTTATCCCTTTGTGTCACTATACCCCACCCTCTCTAGCATGTAAGCTCATTGAGCAGGGCCCTCAACCCCTCTGTTCCTGTGTGTCCAACTTGTCTGGTTACAGTTACGTGTCTGTGAGTCCACCCATTGTACAGCGCTACAGAATTTTCTGGCGCTACATAAATAATAATGCCCTACAGCAAAAAAAAAAAAAAAGTTATTTCAAACCATTTATATCGGCAGGCAGGGACTGTCGGAATTACCACCCTCTTACCTTAACTGTGGCTTTGAAGGAATTAATGCTTATGAATAACATTTTGGTGTTAAGTCCTACTGAGTACCCAACTCTGAGCCAAAAAGTTAATTATCAGTTTACTTTCTGACAAGTGTTACCAGAGAAGCCTCAGGGGAGTTGAAAGACCAGACATTCAACTATTCTGTTCCTTTAATGGGGTATATCACTTTACAGAATTTTTTAAACATTGTTTCCTTAACACCTCTATTTTGCAAATATTTAATTGTGAAGTCTAAATAAAAAGAAAGAAAGAAATGTTATGTATTTACCTCTAACCTGGATTGCTTTTCTCCAATTTCCCTCCCTGTCAATCATTGCTATAAGCCCAGTCCTTTGCAGTATGTAATGGGAGTATTTACAGAGGATAAACAGAAACAATATATCTGTTTCCAATGTAATGTGTGCCATGGTTGTGCCAGGACTAAACTGGATTGGAAACTCAATTGCTATATCACTAATGAACATATAAAAAGGAATGGAACACAGGATACCAGAATGGCTAACACAAGTTACAACGTATTGTATATGGTGTTATTTCCCAGAGGAGAGATTGTTCCTTTTAACATGGCAGAAGTAGGATTGTCAACTAAATTCGCATATACTCACAGCTCCACCATGTTGTAGTGTTTCTCCATACAGCTCCATATATAAAGACTATCCAGTAATGAGACCTCCATTGGAATTGTACTTAGAACTACAATGGATTTGGGGTTAGAAGGGAACCATGGGGAGAAGTTGATAAACAAGAAATAAACTACATTAACTCCCCAGAACTGAGGGGAAGCTATAGAGGCCCCTTTTCTACGTCTGAAAAAATACACATATATATATAAAAAAAAAAAAAAACACAAAGTATGATATACAACTCTAACTTTCTTTTTTTTTTAGTTTACAGTTTTTTAATTGTTTTTTTTAACGATCTTTAATATTAGCTGCATGAGCCAAATCCCAAAATGCAATCTTTGGAGGATGCAGTCTGGCCAAATAATGCTTGGGATTTCACTCCTCCATAACCAGCGTTTTATGACTCGTTCTCTCTCTTTCCTGTATTACTTTGTGGTTTCATTGTTTATCCGTGGTATTGTGTGACAACATGCACCAGGGTTGTTTCTATTACAACATATAGAACTTTGAGAACCTGAATTCCAGAAAAGCCATGCTTCCAATGGTTAAAAGGGAACCAAGGGAAACATGTTTGCGAGTCTGGTTATTATTAACTAAACTATGAACTGTAGCAAATTAAAACCTGGGAATTTAGGCAGGTATAGTCTAATAAATTCTCCCACACCACTATACTTTGAGCACTTTACTTGGATTTTAATAATTATTTATAATTTAGAGTTTAGAGAACACTCCTGCTGTATCCTCGATATAGAACAGTCTAAGGATTTACAATACTATGACAGGCTGAACACCATAGGAAATGTCTATGACAGCTGCCTTATCTGTCAATATCTGCACCTCTTCCATTTTCACATACCTTCTGATTTCACTTTATTGAAAAGTAATAAACCTTTGACAGAAATGCATATTTGATGGGCAGGTTGAACAAAATGTCTGATCTGTAATAATAGTGCTATTCGTAGCACATTCTGCATTCATGTGCATCAACAATCAGGAGCGTTCGAGGGGTTTTACCCTCTTCTACTTAATATACAAAACATGCAACAAATTGTATCTTTCCATTGAGAATTAAATGGATGATGCATACCAGCAATGCAGGTTATAGAATAACTTCCTATACATTTCTGCTTAGGCAACGGATTTGTCTCGTTTAATTATATCTAAGCATTCCTGTAGGTAAAACACATTTACATGTGTAAATCATTCGCTTCTCTTTATCTACCAGCATGTCGAGGGATCCACATACTTGCACAAGTGTTGCACTAACCCAGCAGAGCTTTGCAGGCTCTGGATTACACCTTTGCAACTTCTTTGCTGTGGCTTAAAACCTGCTAGGCCTGTGCTATCCAAAATGCAGTGGAATTTGGACAAATGTGAATCAGAAATAATAGATTGCAGGCAGTCAGAGAGGCACAGTGTCACGAAGTAAGAATTAACCCTGCATACCCAGAACCATGCGCACTACGTTTTTAGTGTGTTGCCTGCCCACTGCTCGGGCAACTGAGAGGAAAGAAAGGGCACCAATAATTATATATGTGTTTGATGGTTTACGCAATAATGCAATACTTAGAATTTGGCAAGGGTTCATAGAAAATGGTGTGGTCTAGTGATTTAACATTTGACCTTTGTGTCTGAAGTTCAAGGTCATTTGGTAGCCATGGGAAAAACAATAGGACTCCTTTTAGTGTATTCCTATGTAAAGTTCAGCATAAAAAAATAATAATCAGATAACATTAAACAAAAATATATCTGCCTTTTAATGTTGACTGACTGATTGAGAATGAAGGTAGAATCACAAAATGCAGAAATGAAAACATTAAGCACAAAGACCTATAACATTCCACATATAGAGACTATTCAGCTTCTTACCGATAATTCCACTGTCTTTGCTTTCCAGCGTTGAACTGGGACTGCTAATGGTTCCACTGGGGCTAGTTTTGTTTGCTGTCGTTTTGCCAATACCACTGTTTAGTGTTGAACAAGGACTGGATGCAGATGGGGATGCTGTGCTGTTTGTCAGCGTGGAGCAAGGACTAATCCCATGACTCGATACTGTACACTGCAGGAAATCAACATGTAATTAACATGAGAGACAGCGACTGACATGCATTAAGTTTCCATAAAACTCTGTCTCTTACATAATGCTTTAAAGCTGCATTTTCTTTACGACCCACTTGTCTTTTCATTATATCTTTCAACTTCCCCATTGAGCATTTAGCCATCTTATTGGTTACTAACTTTAGCTTTAAACAACTGCAAAAAAAGTCACTTTTATTGCGTTACAGATACAGTCGCCTCAGCAGGGTTAGTCAGAGTGAATGTATGGAGTACAGAAATCTATAGCCATACAGCAAACACACAGCAGCTGTGAGTCAAAGTTTGTCCACTGCTTCGGTGTAAGCGGGGCTAGTATTAGTTGAACCCTTTCATAGTCATTGGACTACAAGTTCCATCATGCTTGCCCAGGCTCAGTTATAACACTCAATGGCAAAGCACCATGGGAGATTTAGTTGTACATCAACACCCGGACCTAAACATTTGATTATATTAACTAAAACAGTTTACACACTTATTTAAAGAGTCCTCTTACTGCTCTCTCTGTAATTCCAAATCAGAACCACCAGCTGTAGCAGAAATGTCCACATTTTGCCTCTAGCCCATGTGGGACAACATGGCAGCCATATTGGATTTCCTGCTCATGGTACGTGGTTTTCTGCCCTGCAGTGTATGGCATTGCCGGTTTTTACACGTCCAATAACTAATCTATGTAATAAACATTTTTTTAGCATATGTCAACCACTCTTACCATAATTTCATTTTTCTCTTCCATCGATACTCGGGCTGAGTTAGGAATCCCTTCTCCCAACAGGAAACCCAGTCTTGTCATCAGTTCTTGAGCTGCAGGAGAACAGCTTGTGTTTTTATCCAGTGCGGCATCTGAGTAGAGGAAAAAATAAAAATAAAGTGATATAGATCATACGTATAATTAATTAGCTCAGTGACCTTTCATACTTTGGAACAGACCGAATGAGGTAATTAGTTGCTCCTTTATACACGCAGACATTTTTTTTGCACGCTTCACATTAAAGGAAAGCAAAATTATAATTTCTGAGCACGTGCTTAGAAGCAGTAAGAGTGTCCATTGTATTCAGAGCTATCGGATGTGCTGATTAAGACACCATTTCGATGGAAGAAATATAATGTGCCCATTTATTCGGATGGCACTGCCTTCTACAGAAAGTTGGATATCAGAAAAAAATATATCAAAGGATGATTAATCAATACATATGTATCCAAGTTTAACTCGAAATTTGACAAGGCAGTTGTTTTGGTGGAATTCCTGGAGTGAGAAGGAATTTGAGGAAGTAAGGGTTGTAAACTTGCTTGCTCGCCTTCTCCTTTGGTACTCTTGGGGTTAAGAAAGCCACAGGGTTTAATTCTAGTCTGAGAACTGTAGCAGGCTCATTGCGAGTCTTGTCCCGTCCCTCTCCCACATACACATTCATTAGTTGTATTCTAATTACGTCTGCCTTCCTGTCAGATCTCGGAGATGTTGGCGTGAACTACAGCTTACATAGCCGAATTAATTAACCCTCAAAAGAAAAAGAAAGAAAAAGAAAAAAAAAGGGGGGAGGAGGGGTAGGGGGGAATGGGGAAGAAAAAAAAGGGAACTTCAAAGAAGCCCACATAGATTACAAAGCTTCCCTGCCTGTCCCAAACTGACATTTCATATTTAACTGTTCCTGAGTAAAGTATAATGGACACGTTTTGATGCAGCCTCTGTGATGAGAAACAAGCATTTGTAAACAAGATTAAAAAAAAATACTATATATAAACAAATATAAAGAAATTTTAAATAGACCAAAAATAAAAAGAAATTAGAAAAAAGAAAAACTGAACAAAAAATAAAAAAAGTAAAAAAAAAATACAATAACAGTTTTCTGATGTTGTGTAATGGCCCACATTTGTATTAACAGATGTATATTTTATTGTATAAACAGTTGGCATACCGGGGGAGATGAAAGGATTATGGATATAAACAATATATTTTATCCCTATGGAAATGGAACACACTGTGCCCAAAAATAGGAGTTATATTTATAAATACACAGTCCCAGGATTCTTTTTTTCCCATGCACAGAGCC